AGTCTCGAATCCGGTAAGTATCACAGCCTCTTACCACCGAAATCCAACACTGATCTCTGTCCAACTCGTATCAAGTCTCCAATCTGAAGAAGAAGAAGAAGTCTGAAGAAGAAGAAGAAGAAGTCTGAAGAAGAAGAAGATGGAGAGGAGGAGAAAACAGAGGAGGAGGGAGAGATGGCGAGGTAGGGAGGAGGAGATTTCTCACTGTCCTACCCTGGTCCTAGCCTGACCTGCAGGGTGCAAGGTGGCGCCCGGAGTAGAAGTCCCTGAAGTTGAAGTCCTCCACAGCTATGGCGCCACAGGTAAGTACCAGGTAGGTACCTCGCTCCTTCTCTATCCCGAACTGCAGTCTAGCGCTAACCTCGCGCTACTGCAGTAGCGCTGCGCTCTAACAGAATAGCGCAGCATTTTCCCGAACTGCTGTTGCTCCCTGAATGCCGAACAGGCGGCCTCCGGTACCTACGTACCGGTGTGGAAAGGCCGGCCTCTATGCTGGGAGGCCGAGCCGTGATCTGAATCGTCAAAAGTGACGATTCAGATCAGACCGGCGGGCGGCAGCCTCAAGAGCGCCGCCAGGCCCAACGGTAACGTCGTTTGGGCCTTCCCGTCTCGTCTGGTCCTCAATGTGGCCTAAAGGCCAACCAGTGGGCCTGAAATTGGCGCTACCGGTCTAAAGGTCCAGCCTTGGGCCTGGACCGGCCTCCGAACCCCTATCTGTCAGGTGTAACCGGGCCCGTGTGACATAGTATGTAACACACTCCCTCCCTTAAAAGACCGAGCTACCTGCGAGGGCGAAGTTGTCTGTCCGATACCGGGGTGGGTCGGGTGGGACGAGCTTTGTCCTTGGCAAGTCTTCGAATCTCGTAGTCGGAAAAGATGAGAGGTGCAAATGCCTGTAAGTCTGCGCGGGAGATCCAACGAGTGTCATTCGGGTCACATTGCTTGAAAGTGACTTGGTATTGCATTGGCTTGTTGCCAAACTTGCGGTGCCTGATGACACGGTCAACTTCCTAATGGTCGTCCATAGAGGGCGGATCCTGTGATCGTCTGCCAGGGAACTCGTCTGCGGATGGTGGCGTGTAGATGGCCAGCTTCGACGCATGGAAGACCGGATTCACACGGAGGTGCAGGGGAATGGCAATCACGAAGGAAGGACCTGCAGGGTCGTCGCCTGCTGCAGAAGTTATCTTCCATGGTCCAAACCATTTCGGGAGGAGTTTGCGCGAGACGTCCTGCTCGAGCGCGAATTCCTCAGCGAGGACCCAAACAAGGTCTCCCTCGCGGAAAGGACATGGGAGTCGACGTCGGTTGGCTTGCTGCTGCATGCGGATTGAGTCTTTTGCATGTTTGCGCGGGCTTTGATCAGCAAGTCCCGGTACTTCCGAACGGAAGCAGGAGAGCAAGCGATGTCTATGTTGTCGGCCCGTGGTAGAAGAAGATCGACAAAGACTCGGGCTTTCTCTCCACCGTGATGCAACTAGAATGGAGTGATGCAGATCGCCGAATGCACCAAAGTGTTATAGGCGAACTCGATGTCGGGAAGCCGGTCAACCCAATCTTTCTGGTCAGGACGGATGAGTGTACGTAACATCATTTGAGCGGTTTGATGAGTTGCCCGAGGAATCGGCATCGGCTTCAGTTCGCCATAAGGGCCCGTAGATCGACCTTTGTTACGATGACAAACTGCACATGACTCAATGTACCTCGTGACATCGTGAAGAACGTCGGGCCAGTGAAAACGCTGGCGGAGGCGACCCAATGTGCGGTTCACGCCAAGATGTGCCGAAAGTCGTGCGTCGTGGAATTCGCCGAGAAGACGAGTCCGTAAGATGCGATCTTGGGGCACTACTAACAAGTCCTTCCCTCTCGTGTGAAGGAGTAGGAAACCGTCGGAGATACGATAATCACCAGCCGGCGGGTGATCCGATGATAGGTCCGCATAGAGCGTCGAGTATGTCGGATCGGACTTGTAGCCGTTGACGAAATGTTGTTGCAGATCGTCGTCGAGCTCGAACGTCGTGGTCACAAGGGCACAAAGATCGGGCCGTCGTGAGAGGGCGTCCGCTGCTCGATTGGCGGGACCGGGAATGTGGCACAACTCAAAGTCGAACTGGTCGATGTAATACATCCATCGACCGATCGTGCTAGTGACTGTGTCCTGCGTTCTGTAGAAGGTCAACGGATTGTTGTCCGTGTTCCATCTAAAACGTCGACGACCGAGAAGAAAGTGGCGCCACCGTTTGAGAACGGTGACGAACGCGAGTAGCTCTTTCTTCCTAGCGTCGTCGAGAGTGTTGATGGGAGGCACTTTTTGGGAGAAGTATTCGACCGGGTGCCAACCATCCGTGTGGCATTGTTCCAAGACCGCACCAACACCGTACCCGAAAGCATCCGTAGTCACTTGGGTGGGTAGGGTGGGATCATAGATACGGAGGGCCGGTGCGTCTTGCATCGCCGCCTTCAACGTATTGAACGCGCCACGAGCTGCGTTGTCGAACTCGAATGGTACCTTCGGGGACTGAAGTCTCGACAAAGGAGCTGCCACTTTGGAGTAAGACTCGGCGAAGCGCTCACAATATCCAGCCAAACCCATGAAAGAGTGTACGTCCGTCGTGCAACTGGGTTCCGGCCAAACCACGATGGCTTGGATCTTGTCTGCTAAGGGACGAATGCCTTTTGGCGTCACATAATGGCCCAAGTACTCAAGCTCTTGCTTGGCGAATTCGCACTTGTCGCGGTTTGCTTTGTACTTGGCTGCTCGCAAACGATCCAACACCACACGAAGGTGAACGAGGTGCTCATCGAGCGTCCTACTATAGACCAAGATATCATCGAGGTAGATGAGGACGGAACGATAGAGCAAGTCTCGGAACTCCGTTGTCATGGCTGCTTGGAAGGTTGTCGGGGCATTGGTGAGCCCAAATGGCATCACGACCCACTCAAAATGCCCATACCTCATTTTGAAGGCGGTCTTGTACCGATCTTGAGGCTGGATTTCAATCTCGTGGTAACCCGACTTCAAGTCCAACTTCGAGAAGTACATCACGCCGCCCAACCGCTCGAGGAGATCATCAATCCGAGGGAGAGGGTCGGCGTTCTTTTGTGTGTTAAGTTTTCGATAGTCAATGCACAGCCGTAGGTCCTTGTTCTTCTTCCGGACGAAGAGAACCGGCGCACCGTATGGCGAACAACTAAAGAATCCAGCCCTTGTCGAGAAGGTCATCCAGTTGTGCGCGAAGCACCTCGAGTTCCTCTTCGCTCATGTGGTAAATACATCCACACGGAGGAACGGCACCCGCCTCGAGAGTAATCCCGTGACGTATGGGCCGATCCGGAACCGTTCTGGTGGGAGCCTCGAAGACGTCTCCATATCCATCTAAGAGGTGGGTAGTACGTGGGTCCGGCGGCGACGCGGCTGGTCCGTCCGGTGAGGGGAGGGCATGTAGGAAAACAATGCCCATCTCCTCGACGTCATTCCGAGCTATGGCGTCGCGAATCCTCGCAACAGAAACCACGTGACAAGCAATCGAAGTATGAGGGGTTGCGACCGCACATGGGACTAACACTCCGTTCCGATCATGGACATGAACGGTTCGGTCATGAAAGTTCACCGCATGATCGGCGCTACGCAACCAAGACATGCCTAGAATCATGTCAAACTTGGTGTCGAGTATGTTGAAAGACACCGGCTCGCACGCAAGGGGCGCAAAGTATACCGGGCACCGTCAATGCATCGGTCGATTGACTTTTGCGTGCGGTCGTCCGCGAGTGTAACTGGCGTAGGTTGCGTCTTCCTTCGAACGCGCGGGCCATAAGGCTTGGCTCATGAAATTGCGAGATGCTCCACAATCAATCAAGGCACTGCAAGTTGCCTTTTCGATTTGAATGCAGATATAGAGCAAGGGCGCGTCGGTCTCGGCGTACCTTTGGGTGGCATACTCGCGGTCAATCTTTGCAAGATAGGAGCGGAGATCGACAACCGCTACTCCGTCGTCCGTCAACGGAGCTGGTATTGCAGCGTGCAAGTAGGAGCGTAGATTTGCCATCAAGGCGTTACAATGCGGCCTTGAAAAGGTTCCGGTTGAGGGTAGAGGCATCCAAGCGAAGTCCTCTCTCGTGAGCGGGTCAAGCTCCTCAAGTCTTGACCATGCCGTCGAGTCCTCGGAAATTAGTGGCGAGCTGACCGGTTCACTTGCCGACGGTGTGCAGGCTGCGCATACGCTATCTAAGTGCACGTGGCTAGGCTGGTCTAATGGTGGTACCAGTTGGGCGGCATAATCCTCGTACGTAGCACGAGAATCAGCGACTGACGCATGCTCCCCGGTCGTGATATCGGTTGCCAGCAAGGCAACCGGTTCCGGCGAAGTGAGGGGAGGCTTCGCCCCTCTCCTTGTGTAACTCAGTTTCCCGAGTTAGTTGGACAGGGTACGCGTGCCTTGCCCTTGTTCGAGCATTGTGCGGTAGTGTGGGTTACACTATTGCACCATAGGCAATATCCGTACCGTTGACGTAGGTCAAATACCTCCTTGGTTATGTTGTATGCCATCCATGGTTGCTGCCCAATTCCCGTCGATGTCGTCGCTTGTGTCGCCTTGTTCTTCCGACCTCTCTTGGGACGCTTCGACGGGAGCGCTGCGACAACTCCTCCATCACTCGAGGATGTTGCTGCAGCGTGGAGATCGACTGATTCGTCAGAAATCACGACATTGTTATGTGTCGGTCGTTGATAGCCTGGCTTAGCCACATAGTGCGCCTGGGACTGCCGTTCGTTAGCGGCCTTGTCATCCGTTTGGATGACCAGGTTCGCACGATCCAGATATAGCCTGGAATGAGGCATAGTCATACTCGTTGCCGAGTGTCGACCGCAGTCCTGTGCACGATCGCGAAAAGAATTCGGGTCGTTGGTTTGGAAAACTCGAGTCGAAGCCTGGAGTGGTCACTATCTTCTGCCACTTGATCGTCCAGTCTCGAGTTGGCATGCTTCCTTGTGAGTTGGTGTAGACCTTGTTCATGGCCGCCTTTACGACGTTGCGGACCATGAATCGAGTGAACCACAATTGCTCGAACTCCTTCCACAGAATGTGCGTGTGGAGTTTGGCGATGGTGCATTTCTAAGTGGTCGCGAGATGGTTCATTTCATCATGTCTTCGGTCGGTACAGTGTGGCAGGATGCTTCGGTGAGGAAGCTTTGCCACCATGTCAAGGCGTCCGTCTTGTTGTAGTCGTCAAACTTACTGATGTTGAAGTGCGGCATTTGTATGTGCTTGGAGCGACGTCCGGTCTTGTCTGCAGTTTGGTGATGTCCGTCCTGATGCCGGCCACCGTGCTGCTGATCGTGGCCGGACTAGTGAAATCACCTAGTTCGCCGATAATAGTGACGACATGGTCGATGCGCTCCCCGAGCTGCTTCGCCGTGTCTGTCGTGCAGCCTGGCGCTGCTGAGGCCTTAGCCTCGATGCTGTTGATGCGTGCGAGAGTGGAGTTCAACAGTTGTTGCTGTTGCTGCTGTTGTGTTGCTGAGGCGCGGACGGCAGCTTGTAAAGCGGCAGTGTCTTGCTGCTGCTTCTGTCTGTGCTGTCATTCCGTGAGCAGGTGTGCCTGCAGCAGTGTGTTATTCCACATCACTCCCCTCATCATGCTCAACATCAAGTTAGCCAGGGTACTCCTTTCTGCCTCCGCCGGTGTCGGTTCCGCCTGCGTGCCCGAAGGCACGAAGATCATGCCTTGGAGTAGCATTGTCCACCAATTCTCATCTTGAATCAGGGACTCAGTGCTGGCGGCATTCCGTCTGTCTCGAGCCGCTGCGTCAGCCTCAGCAGTCCGCTGAGCTTGGGCTGCCGCCTCATTGGCCAGCCGCTAACGTTCTGCCTCTGCTGCCTCCTGCTGTGCCTTAGCGGTAGCGACGACATTCGTAAATGTTTGTACCCGCTGAAGGTAGTCAGACAACGGCTCGTGGGCCCCTTGGACCGGATATGCGGGAAGAGCCCCGGTGGTACCCGGTACTGCAATTGCTGTACTCGATGCCGCTGGAGTCGTCCGCCTGCTGAGTCGCTGTTGATGATACTTAGTTCGTGGAGGTACCACAGAGTGGCTACGAACTACGAGCCTGGCACTGCGTCGAGGCAGTGCCCCGGTGTCCTGTTCCATCGACATCAGCCTGAGCTGATGTGGTACTTGAGAAGTCCCGGTGGTCACAGAGTACGGGGGCAGGGAGGGTGGGAACAGGGGTAGAACAGATCAAGCAATTCACATACAGTCCCTGTCCCAATTGTGGACTAGACACCTAATCAAAAGAAAAAGATGAACTTTTCCCCAAATCAACTTAAAAATTCGTAATAAGAAATAATAACGAATTAATAATCAATAATATTTAATTAATGATTAATAAATGAATTAATAATCTCTTAATAATAATCAATAATCAATAATTGCAATAATGATAATTAACGAATTTTAAATTGTGAAAAGATTGGTATCCGTTGAGATCACCTATAGTCCTGGAGTTCACCGTTTATTAGTGAACTACCCGGAAGTTGCACTTCTCAGGGAACGATTCCGAACTGTTTGCCGAAAAACTTTTGGATAGTCAGGAAGAAAAACGCTCGAATTTTCGAAAAACGTAAAATTTTGGGAATTTCAACCTACCAAAGTCCGATTTTCAAAGGCCCGAGTCCGTATTCGGAATTTCTCAAATTAGGAAAGAAAAAAAAATTCGCGAAAATTTCGGATTCCAACCCTAATTTTCAGCGATTCCGCAGAATTTTTGGTTTTACGGTTCCAAAACATTCGAATTTCCCAAATTGAACGAAAAACCAAAATTTATCGTAACCCTAATTCCAATACCGAAATAAAACAGAATACTGATTTAAAAACCGAATACCGGATTAAAACAGAATGCCGAATTAAAACGGGACACCGAATTGAAATCAGAATGCCGAATTAAAACAGAATACTGATTTAAACAGAATAAAGAATTAGAATCAGAATACCGAATTAAAACAGGATATCGGATTAAACAGAATACCAATTAAACGGAATACCGAATTAAACAGAATACCGGATTCAAACAGAATCCCGAATTTGAAAATCAGAATACCGAATCGAAACGGAATGCCGAATTAAAACAGAATACCGAATCGAAACGGAATGCCGAACTAAAATAGAATACCGAAAAAAAAAATTGCAACTTTGAATCTCGATAGTAATGTAGAACTGATTTGGAAGATCGAATAAGCAATCTATTCCCTAATTAGACTTACCTTGTGAGCAGATCCATTATTTGGTCTGCTCCGATACCAAAACTGTTGCATACTAGTGAATACTTCAACAAGTATAGGGTGAGCATGTATGCAGCGGAAGTCTGATAAATGGGCTGACTCACATAGACTGAACTCACGCAGATCTCACTCGACACAAACAATCGTGAGATGGTGGGGTCTGAGCCAATCATAGATGATGCTCAGGCCCCGTACAACCATGCACAGATGAAAGGTGGGAGGAGAGACGAAGGAGGTGGGAGATGTAGGCAGCGTCTGATGTCACCGAGATAGAATCCAGTAGGTCACCGATATGGTAGTCCAAAATGTCATCGAACAAGATCAAAATGTCGTGGACAATAAGGCTTTGTAAAAGTAAAGCATCGTGAAGGGGTATCTCGCCAGGACCCAGAAATGTGAAAGCAGGTCAAAGGTCAAGTTCTCTATCAAAGGGCACATTCTAAACTAAAGCAAAGGTCATTGCAAAAGGACATACCTGTTTGCCAGGAGATGCACATGTCATGTCTGTTCAGATAGGGATGTGTCTGTACGTGCAATCAGTGTGCCTGTTCGTGCAGAAAGAGAGTGTCTATTCACACAATACAAGTGTCTGTTCAGGCAGTAAGTGTGCCTGTTCGTCCAAAGTTGTGCCTATTCAAAGGTAAGTCAAATGAAAGAGTCCCAGTTCTGATTTATGTCAAAGGAGCAGTCCAGATCCAGAAGTCCAAGTCCAGGATTCAGGCCGAAGGGCCTCAGCAGCAGCAAACCTCATTGGGACAGTACTGGGACACATGCAATGCAGGGTCTGGGACAAAGGAAGGCCTGAATGCAGACCCAGCGTGAGGAGGCCAGCACTATAAAGGAAACAGCCAGTCTCATTCAACGCCAGATCTCCACTGGCATTCTGCGCGTGGAAGTGCTGAAGCACTTGTGCGCCAGTCAGGAGGAGCAGCGCTGGAGGACGAAGATGAGATATGTGAGGGAAGAAGACTGCGCTGGAGAGAGATGCAGCCATAGCTGCCCGGCGAGTTAGTA